TAAGAACATTTTTCCAAAAATCGAATCAAGAGTAGGAACAATGACGGCGCGAGTGTAGAAATCGGACATGTAAGGGGGGCCTTATTGTGCTGATGCCCAGGGGGACATGCATGCAGCTACAGCATCTACATCAATCCCAGCATGCAGCTGCAGACGTCGTGCAGTTCTTAGGGTTAGCAGGCAGGCGGAATTTCGGCTCGCTAGCAAGGATTTTCGGGCTTCAATTAAAAGGCTCTAGAAAGGCCACAGTTCCTCTCCATTTGTTTTCTTCTGCCCAGGTATTTTACTTGTTTAACTAAAATCATTGTTCAGTTGACCGACAAGTAAGGCCCGGGCATGCCCCCCCCCCTCCCAGCCCCATGAAGAGCGGCCTGCAAACACCACCTTCCGGGCCACAAGGAGAAAGCCGTATATTTTCTTCCCGCCAGAAGGGCATCCAGTCATCAGGCTTGGCTATTTCTGCTACACAGAGATCTGCTCCCTTCGGACAAATGGGCTTCTTTTCAGTACTTTTTCAGCATTTGAGGACATCAGCCAGAGAGTAACAGACGGCCAGAATGAGTTCCTCTCATGTGAGGTCCAAAAGCACGTCGTCATGGTGACATGGGTCTGGTCTGCCGGTCTGTTCCGCATGACCCTGCGCCGCAGGCAGGCGCGCATTAATGCGCAAGCGGTCCTAGGCTGTAGCTCAGGGCCGCCCTGCCCCGTCACAGGAAAAATGGCACGCTTAGTTAGATCGACCACACCTGAGCGTCCATGCTGATGTCAGCCTAAGGCCCTCAGATAAGTTAATCCGCCCCCAGCTTCAGGACCGCTGACGAGCATCTCCTGCCGTAAAGTTTGTCCCGCCTGCTGGACTGATACCCCATCTCTGTTGCCCTGACCCCAGAGATTATAAATCTCACTATAATTAAACGGCATTAAGTACCTGTCAGTGCTCTACGAACCTTGAAGGTGTCTGTACAAGGCTGAACATTGACGTCAGTAACGGATGGTTCCTGGGGCAGCCTTGTTCTCCAAGCCCCCGCTTTTTGGCAGGCCCCAAGCCCGTCCTCCTTCTTCAAAGCCACACTTTTAATGTCGTTAATTACAGATCGGCCCCGGGTCACCGTTCCTAGCAGGCCGGTCCGACCGTCTGTCTTTTCTCTCCACTTCTCGTAAAGCCATTTGGCGCGGCAACACTCTGCAGTTTAAGGGGAATACGTGTGTGTATGGGGGGGGGCGTATGAGGGTGCCCGTCTTTGATAAACATGCAGAGAGCAACAGCCAAAAAATGGAAACAAATAGATGAGCAGCAGCATTTGTGTTTCTCCAGATTACAAGGCGTTCTGCCCTCCCCCCTCCCGCCACGTTCCCCCTCACAACCCCCCCACAAAACCCACTTAAGATCCAATCTCGAATTAATCTAGCGCTGCTTTCAGCTTGGCCTCGATTAATCTCCCGACCAAACAAAATCACGAATAGAGCAAACATTCACACAGGCTCCTTGCCCTCCCCCAGAGAGGAGATAACGGGAGCGAGCGCGTAACCCACAGCCGGGAAAAGCCGGCGGTGCGTAATGTCATTAGCGGGAATAGATGCCGCTGCTTTGCCGTCTTTAATTTGACCTTCCAGTGAGGAAGCCTGCGATTCGCGTTCAGCTGTTTGTTTTTCTGCCGACCGGCTACAGGAAAAAGAATAAATACAATCAGCCAGAACAATAAAGATGAGGCATGTCCTGTGGGGGCAGGGGCCCCCAGGGCCCTTGGCGTACAGCGCTCTGCACTCCAGGTAAACAAAAGCATCCAGTGCAGTCATTTGATTACGGAGGATCAGGGCTCACCGAAGGAAGCAGCCTTCAGCCCTCAGCCCGAGACTTATTGTTATTTTCCGCCAAGGTGGGTGTCTCTCACGCGAGCGGCCCATCGTTCCCATAGCGATTAATGGTGTGTCGCGGAGACGCCCAATCCCCAAGCTAAACTGCAGCGAAACTCTGGGGAACGAAGGATGGAAAGAGGGGGAGGAGATGACAAGAGGAGCTTAACTGCACGGTGTCATTGCTCAGCTAGGCGGCTAATGAAAAGGCACCGGGTTAAAGGGACACCAGCTGGCTGCGGGGGGTGGGGGGGGGAGTCACCGTCAAACAGGGAGACACAGGCAGTCAAAGGAGACAAAAGGAGACACCCCAAGTCAAAGGAAAGCCCTGCAGTCAAAAGGAGGCCCCTCCATTTAAATGAGATACCGCCAGTCAAGAGAGATCTTACAGTCATACGCGACCTACCCACACCAGAGGAGGCGCCCCGCCCCAAATTCTGTGAGACAGTAACCCTAACCCTGCTGCTTCCTGGGAGAACGTAGCATCACATGCGACATGCGTCGAATGTTACATTCGTCGCATGTACGGCAGCGATTGGTGGGGAGCGATATAGCAGGATCGCTATCAACTGCTTTTTTAGAAAAGCCGTCTCAGTGTCTGTGGATCACTCTTTGCATGCATTTTTAAAGTATATTTTATTGTTCCGGTGTACTTTCCGCCATAGCAGCCGGGCAGATGCTAGAGAATTCTATCAGGAGAAGATTAAACCTCCAGATGGCAAATGCAGAAAGAGAAGACGGAGAGAGCAAGGACGACCAGAGAAGGACGAGGCAGCGCAGGGCCACAGGAAAGCCCCCTCATCATGGCTGCCGGATTCCTCCCAGCTCCGCTTAAATATTGGTTTGACATTCGGACTTTAGAAGCCTTACAAGGCTGATCTCCTGTCTAACTGCCAGATTTATTTCCTGCTGCGTGTAATTTATGGCTCCATCCGTGACCACCGCTCCCCCCCAGGAGGGGGCGCCATTTGCAGCCATGTCCACTGCTCCCCCTAGGAGGAGGTGCCGTCCGGTGCCATGTCCACTGCTAACCCCAGCAGGAGTCTCCTCACGTTGCCCTCAGTAACTAATGACCCCTCAGTGTTGACACTTCAGCTCCTGAATTCACTTACAAACTGCCCTCACTGAGGGACAAACAAACAGCCTAAAACGGGATCAAAGCTGCGTTTCACATAGCAGCTCCCACAGGCCCAGCTTATATGCTTTGTACTGCTTCTTGGTGCCTAATTTTGTGGGGGGGGGGATACGGTTTTCCATGGTGATGGGAGAGTGGTGATATTGTGGGGATGTACTGTAGCTTGCGGTGGCGTGACACGCTTCCCTCAATGGACACCGGCGATTCAAGGCCATCAGAGGAAATGAATCCCAGTTGTTAATTAATGAGGTGTGAACGCTGCCTCCACAGATCCTCTCTGTGCAGCTGACAGGCCTTCGAGGGAAAGCGAATCGCAGCAGGCCTGCACACACCTGTACCTCCTACCAGGTTAGCTATAAATTAACGTGAGCTTTGGCGCAGGGAAAATCACCGCAGCGAATCACAGGAGTACTGCCACACACCGTTACGTCCCACTGGGTTAGCTAGAAGCTAATTGAGTGCAGAAAATTTTCCAATTTATTTAAAAGTTGTAGTGCAAACTTTACAACACTGCCTTGGGTCATTCGCAGTAGGTGAGAGCAAAATAGCCAGCTAGCCAGCACAGTACATCATATGGCCTAAAACCTTAAAATGGGCTTTTAGCAATTAACACACTGTTCATAATTGAAAAAAAAAAAAAAAAAGATAGTAGAATTTGCACTATGCACGCACCTCATTCCAAAGCAAACATTGATGTGCAGTGCTTCACATCATAACACTGCTAATGTGGCTCACTAAACAGCCAACTGTATCAGCTCACTGATTATCATGTACAAGTACAGTACATTTTCAATTGATTTAGAAATTGCATAATTGCACATAGTTGGATACTGTGGCTGAAAGGGTCCATTACCAGTTTGCTACCAATAGTAATCTTAGAGCTGATTTAGTGTTTTGCCATTTTCTGAATAAATGTTCATCTTATTTCGGAGTGTCTTGGACCTATGGAGGATACCCCCCCCTCCCCCCACCCCAGGGCCGAAAGACCTGTCCTGGTCACTGAAAGTTTAATCCGAGTCCGTCCCTCATTTGTACACTCACTGTGCCATGATTATGTCTGTTTTCTCACTACTAGGAGCTTGTTGAAAACAGCGGACAAATTAATCACCAGGAGGATGTATGAGCGAAAAAGGTAACGTGACCCCCATCAGAAGAGCTGAACTTTGTGTAACTTTGCAGAGAGTTTATCTGGGAGGCCAGCTGTCATCCCACACTGTCTCTGGCTCTCCGACTCTGCACATCACCCTTCTGTCACTTGGGCTACATCTATGGCTTTTCCTCCCCGGGAAACATCACGAATAACATCGTCCAGGCTCCCCCAGGAGGGAAAGCAAATGAGTGCCATGAGACTTTGTTTTAAAGGGGCAGAAATAACCAGTAAGCCGGCAGAGGCGGAGGGCTCCGAGCCAGGCCACGGGCGAAGGGCATGAGCCGCCAGATCGGGGGATTTCGCACGGAGGACGAGGGCTTGGACAGGCATCAGTCAGCCTGGTAGACACAGAGGACTGGAGTTGACAAAACAGCCGTGTCATTGGCATGACAGACCCGGGACTGCAGAATGGGGGGAAGCCAAGGCCCTGGACAGTGATTGGGAAGAAGCCAAGACCCCAGAGAGCAGAGGGGGAAGAAGCCAAGACCCCAGAGAACAGAGTAGGGGAAGCCAAAACCCCAGGCTTCAGAACTGGTAGGAAATTACACCGCAGATTGCAGCATAGAGGTATCCCAAGACCCCATCCTACAGCATAGAGGTAAGCCAAGACCCCAGAGAACAGAGTGGGGGAAGCCAAAACCCCAAGCTTTAGAACTGGTAGGAAATTACACCGCTGACTGCAGCATAGAGGTAACCCGAGACCCCATACTGTAGCATACATGTAACCTAAGACCCCAAACTGCAGCATAGAGGTAACCCGAAACACAAGCTCAGTGAAGCAGTTCAATCACCTGTGTCTGTAACCATTATGAGAACCTCCCCGGCCCACCGCACCCCTCGCTCACCCCACCCCTCGCTCACCTGCATAGGGCACAGGGGCGTCCTTATCCAGAGCCACCAGTGGGGGGTCAAGCAGCACGGTGTCTGCATTCTCTGTGATCACCCCGTGGTAAGAAGTCTCAATCCAGGGTTTGTGTTTGTTCACTGCAGGGAGAGAGAGAGAGAGAGAGAGAGAGAGACATGCCAGTTAGCCGCAGGCTGCTCCGTTAAACACATTTGATTTGTTCCTCACTGAAATAAATAAAGAAATGGAACAGTCGATAGCGATTACTATAATAGGCACACCCCCTCCCCCGTCCTGGGACGCTCTCCATTATTTCCGTCTTTCCCAAATATATTCATCCCACTGATCGTTTTTCCATCCTTTAAATGCGCCTTGGAGGGAGGAAGCGGATCGATTGCCGCAATTGAGGCACTGACAATGCACACTGTCTCTGCGGTGTGGAGAACGCGGTGGAAAGCGGGCGTGGCTGCCCCCCCCACCCCACGCTTGCATAAGGAGAAACACTTGGCCCAAGACATGCAGTCAGCCTCAACAGAAAGGAACAGAAGGGGGAAGCACTACCAAACAGTCCCCTACAGGGGGCGCTGGAGAGCAGTGGCTGCACAGTAAGCGAGTGACTGACCTCGAGCTGAGCCACTGGCCTTCAAGCAGAATCAGCATGTGATACTACAGCTGCCCACAATGAGGGACAGTTTCTGGGCTCTTATTTATGCAACGGAACACATATAGTTTGCATGTATTTAATTTTTAAAGATCAATTGCTCCCTAAAGGTACCCCAGAAAGGTACTCCCCTACATGCACTCTTGAGACACTCTTGTTCACTCCTTAATGCCAGTAAGTGCCCTGGGGGTTCAGCTTTATAGATCATCACGTCCCTCCTTAATGCCACTCTGACCCAGTTACCATACAGCTGTGCGATGGTACACCACCTCCCGCTTGAAATAAAATTTCACAGCTCAGCACCATAAGTGAAGCACACATTTCCTGAAATATTTAAACATGTACTTTAGAAATGTGGTTCCAATATAAAAGTTTAAAAGAAAAAGTCATTTCACTGCCAAAGATTTAGTTCCAAAAACAGAATAACTAAAATTAAGTTTAGGTAAGTGAGGGGGTTTTACGAACAGGGTTAGTGTTTCCCCCAGCCAAAGAGACCCATGCTGTCGTCAATCAGCTCCTAGGTTAATTACGATAACTTTTATGCCATTAAGGCATGGGGGTGGGCTGGGTAAGCTTTGAATCAGCCTTGTCTTTCTTGCGGGGGGGCTGGGGGTGTGTTTGAGGCTGACTGGGCTGCATTGTTACTGCTGATATTGTCAGCACAGCGCCCTCTGTGAGATGGACGGAAGGCCTCCTCCCGCAGAATCCCGCGCCTGTCAGCGATAGCTGCATCTGGCCCAGGTGCCTTTCTAAAATTCCTGCGTGAGAAACCTTGCTGCCAATTCACATGCAGTTTTTCATAACCTGAGCACATCCGCTGATGTACAATATATACCTACGCTGCATGAAGTACTCCAAATGGTTTCTTCTTCCTGGTTTTGAATGCGCGTTATGGCGCTAGGCGCATGTTTGTCAGGAATGCCACATGATCAGCAGGGAGTACAAGGAGAGAAGATGACCTTTGACCTCTGTGAACCTCTATGCCGCAAATGAAGTACGAATTAGCATATAAAGGTTAAAATGCACGATAATTTCTTGTTATATCGGCACAAATGCACATAAAATACGTACGCATTCATGCTGTTACAACAATCGATTGCTGCACGCATCGCTTTTAAATGTGAATCCGTACTTACGTACAAGTTATGTCAATCCCTGGCTATTATCAGATTTGGGTGATTTGAACACCCTGCACCTTACAGCAACGGTTTATGCACAGTTACATTCAGCAGCAAGTATAGGTCTAATCTAATGTCACTTTGGATAAAAGCTTCGGCTTGACAAAGGCGAATGAGTAACTGCGATATACAAAGTACATGTTCGTTTGCATAAAACGGATTCAGTGCTGAACTGGATTCAGATCTTATTGGGTAGACTGAGGAGAAGTCTCCAGCCAGTGGATTCTGCTACGAGCATGATTTAAATTATCATAACAGAGGGTAACACAAGGTAACACTGGATTCTTAAATGGTGCCACTGAATGAAAAGTTCAGTTTTATGACTATTGGGACAGAAATGTCAGCAGAGTGTGTCCGTAACATCTCAGGGTCCATGATGTGGTTCTGGTCCTGAATATCAGACAGTGGCTGTGAGCTTCTCCTGTCAGGAGCAAAGAGGGGATTCGGTTTCCATGGAAATAAGGAGTCACGTGTGTACCAGCCGGTCAGTACCCCACCTCATCACAGTGACGTGAATCCACCTTCCAGTGCACCCTCACTTAATCGCACAAGGATGAATACATGCTTAAATGAACAGAGGCGGATGGATGGATGAATGGGTGAATAGAAACACAAATCAGCTGCTCTGTCACCATTTCAGATGAATCTCAGGTTTATAAAAACACAGTTTCACTGATTAGAGTGGCACAATATCCAGCTTAAATACTGAGAACATAATTAAAAAGATAACAAGAGAAAAAAACTGCTTCTTTTATTACTTCAAAAGGCTATGAAAATTCCTCCCTTGCAAGAAATCTCCTTTACCTTAATGAACACACGCTATTTGTGAAGATCGCCTTGTTAAATCTTTTCTCACCTGCTGTGTTTTATATCACCATCCCTACGTTACATCTGATGCGTAAGCAGACCTTGGTCACACACACACGCGGCTGCTTTTGGGGAAGTGGAATATGAGGACACACATCCCATAATGATCAGAGGAAGGCACATGATGTGGGGTAATAACATGCTCAACGTGTGATTGCTGACAGCAGGTGGCATGTGTCTCAGAATGCTGCGTGTCCTATCAGGTGGTTGTGGGTTCAAATCCCACTTTTGTCAGGGTGATTTCACTGCTGAGCCCTTGAATAAGGCTCCTAACCCCAATTGCTCCTGTGTCTCTCTCTAAAAATATACGTCTCTTCGGATAAAAGCATCGGCTAAATAGAATGTAAATGACAGAGGCTGAATCACAGCTGATTTGTGTTCCTGACTGCTTTATGGAAGAACCTATCAGGTGATTTAGATGAAGGGAAACTCCAGGTTGGGGCTGCACACTGTTGATTTCTTTTTGTTCCACATCATGGTCTGCTGCTGCCACAGCTGGGACACTGTGTACTTGGGGTTGGGGTTGGGGGTGGGGGTGTTCGAGATGGGGGTCGGTCCCTTTTGAGCGCCACCCAGCACACTTTGATCCCCTGATTCCCTGCTAACAGTTCATTCATTTGATGTCGCTGGTCTTTTTAATTAATATTTACTGGGAATATTGTAATGTGCTCTTGATAAACGGGCTCCATAAAGTCATGCTTGATGTCTTCATATAAATACATAAACATTAAAAAACAACAGCAGCTGTGAATTCCTGCCTGATACTATTATTCTCTGTGCAGGGCGCTATAAAATAGGCTCACAGCTCATGCATCATGCATCATTTTTTAATAAAGGCCTTATGTGGCCTCTCCATCTGAAATACGGTCATTGAGACGTAGCTTTTACAGAATTACTAATCAGCCGCCTGGGGTGATGAAGGCGCAGAGATAGGCCGAAGTGTGTGCAAAGAGCATTTTAAAAAAGCTTTAAAATGGCTGACAGTTTGTCTAAGATTGTTTGGGGACTAAACAATGACGTGTGTGGTGAGCTGGCAGGGGGCTCAGCAGCAGCGCAGTGGCAAAGCTCTCGGTTAATGGGAAGCAGCCGGCTCCCGTTGGACTAATCAAGCTGTTACACTTTAAATGCGATGGGGGTGAGATGCGAGCTGAGCAGAGGCGGAGCTTTGCCACTGCGCCTGAAGGTAGGTGGGTTTGAGCATTTAATTTTTACGGCGTTTGGAGTTTGGCTGTTAAAGGTTCAACTTCACTGCTGTCTTGAGTTTTGAGTCCTTTTTGTTTTGTTAAATCCTTTTCCTACAAACCTCTGCAGCAGAACCTGCGACGCTCTGGGATTCGCCGCATCAAGCCCGTTTTAGTTACCCAGCCATAGCTGCTAAACCTGCAGAACCGGGACTGAATGAGCTCCAGGGCACCCCGGCTGCTGGGTGGTGCTTAAACAAACGCTTTAGGTACCTGTGGGGCTCTGGCGTGCGAGTCCAGGCCAAAGCACATGGGCGTGAGCTCTACTCATGTGGGGGGGTATTGTAGGGCTCAGGAGCCTCAACAAGGACGAATAGGAAGATCAGCTTTCAGCTCCCCCCCAGGAGGCAAAAGGCTTCCATAGTGGGTCCAAACCACCCCCCCCACACGGGGTGGACCTGCTATGGAAACCCACTTCATGCAGTGCTAAATGCAGTGAAATGCTATTTGATCACCTCTGACTGCGAAATGCTGTCGGTCACTATTTCATACATTGTTCAGGGCATTATCCAACAAAGGTGCTATATTTCTAGTGAAGGATATTCTGGAATCGATTGCTTTTCTTTTCTAGCCTGACTGCCTGATTTGACCTATGATAATTTAACTTATCGTGGTTTTATTTTTGGGAAGGTGACCTTTCTGGGAAGGTTCCTGGGGTGTGATAAGAGCCAGGCTGGGCTGCCGTCCTCAAACAAAGAGTTGATTGTTTGTGGCAACAAGACAGGGATGGTGGCCCTTCGGGGGAGGGGGGGGGGCAGGAAAAGTGCCTGGGGAGGCGAACCTGAGCCTGATGCCTTTGGGGCAAATGCTGATGCCACCAGAGTACAATAGAGACACATTTATAAATGTTTCTTTTCTGCCTGAGTTAAAAAAAGCATGTATTATTTTTATGTTGTCGATGTTCAGCTGCCTTATCCTGTCAGCAGAGTGCTTCTAAACGATTATGGCAGGGAAGCACAGATCTTCACACGTCCAAAAATAAAAGCCATTGAAGGGACAGTCTGCCTTCTCTTAGTTTGGTGGGAGGGGTCTCACGTTCTTGCTCCACACTGGATGCCCCAGTTGATGTGGCTGGATTCTCGGGGGGTGGGGGTGATTACTGGTGGGGTTTGGTCCTAAGACCAAGTGGTCAGGGGGTGGGCTGATACCAGTGGGGACCTGCTTGAAATGCTGGGTGGTCCAGCGGGGGATCT